ATAATAAACCTTGGATTGATAAAGAGGTCATTCAGATGATGCATAAAAAAGATCGAATGCGTAAAATAGCGAAGAGAACGGGTGATCATACGGACATTGAGAATTTTGAAGAAATTAGAAGAAATGCTGGAAAGCTTATTGAAGTAAAATATAAGGATTATTTGAACGAACTCAAATCAGATTTAACTGAACATCCGAAACGTTTTTGGACATTTATTAAAGCAAAAACTAGAGCATATAGCACTCCTCAATTTCTGAAATACGGAAATGTATTCGCCACAGACGGCAAGGATAAAGCTAATCTCCTGAACAGTTTTTTTCACTCTGTGTTCAATTCAGGGGTTTCCCCAGAATCTAGTGATGAATACCGCAGTGAGGAAAATTGTGAAATTGTAGACAACAGTCTAAGTCAAATTGTTTTAAACGAGAGTGAAGTGCTAGATTGTTTATTAAACCTAGACCAGACGAAAACGGGTGGACATGATGATATCTCTGCAAGGCTTCTTAAGACGGTTGCAAACGAAATAACTCCGTCGCTAACACGCCTTTTTAACCTTTCTCTAAGATTAGGAGAAGTTCCATCCATATGGAAACAGGCGAACGTCACTCCGGTTCCGAAAGTTGGCGACGTGCATTGCGTTGAAAACTATAGGCCGATTTCTCTGCAATGCATAGTCTCGAAAGTGTTGGAAAAATGCATCTATAACCGGTGTTATGACTCTATTTCCGGAATTGCACACCATTTACAACATGGCTTCTTACGAGGCAGAAATTGCACAACACAGTTAATCCAAGTGTATCACAAGATTCTTAAAGCACTGGACAATAAACACTCTGTTGATGTAATTTATCTTGATTTCCAAAAAGCGTTTGACAAGGTATCTCACCATTTATTGCTCCGTAAATTAAGCAAACACGGTTTCTATGGTTCTATTTTCAACTGGTTTAAAAGTTACTTATCAGGAAGGATCCAACGAGTTGCGCTTGACGGTCATTATTCTGAATGGCTCGATGTGACTTCTGGAGTTCCACAGGGATCTATTCTCGGTCCACTGCTTTTTATATTGTACATTAATGACCTTCCGGATCAAATTCAGCAACCAACAGAAATGGCATTATATGCTGACGACTCAAAATTATATAGAACAATAAAATCGGATGCGGATACTGAAAATTTACAGCTAGATTTAAATGAAATGAACTCTTGGACAGAAACGTGGCGTATGAAATTTAATACAAATAAATGTAAAGTCATGAGGTTGTCGCGAAAAAAAATCCAGTCGCACGTGAGTGATTATATATTGGGACACGAATCTCTCGAATTGGTAAAAACCACCAAAGATCTTGGAATAACTGTGAGTGACGATGTTCGTTGGGGGAAGCATATTGCAGAGATTACGGCAAAAGCAAATCGAACACTCGGGTTGATCAAAAGAACCTGCAGAGATTTTGAAGATCAAACTGTCAGGAAGCTCCTCTACCTTACATTGGTCCGGCCGCAGCTGGAATTTTCATCAGAGTTGTGGTCCCCGTCAGAAGTAAAATACCAGCTTATGTTGGAAGCGGTGCAACGACGAGCTACAAAGTTTATTTTAAATTACCCTGACACTGGATATAAAGAACGTTTGATAAAACTTAACCTTCTACCACTTGATGTCAGGAGAAGTATGAAAGACTTGTTATTCTTTCATAAATGTAGAACAGGTCTATTGGATATACATTTACCAGATTATGTACAAAGTCGACTTGCTCCTAGATTAACATTAGGTCACATGACGTGAATAATTTCACTGAATTTAAATGTAGAACTGACTTTTTTAAAAATTCCTATTTTCCTCGAGCTGTGACAATGTGGAACTCGTTAGATAGTGATCTCAAAGCAATTGACAGCTCTAGTACTTTTAAGTCTAGACTTCTTAAGAAATTTTATATAGAACTTAATGTTTATGAACTGCCACATAAGTAGTTTGCAGAGTGTTTCATTAGTTGTTAATATGTATATATAAATATATAGTAGCAAATGTTAGGTATATATAAACTCTTTAATAGGTTTTTAAATTGGTAGTCATGTTCAATTGGGGCAATACCCTGTTTGGCCACCAGTTGTTTTTTTAACTAATTACTACATTCTTGTATTTAGCAGTATATATAGTAGTGCTTGGATGATGCAAGTGTGTATGGTTTTTAAGCAACAAAGTTATTAAATCAAATCATTAAATCAATTTTGCTCGCGTGTCGAAATAGCGATAGCCGTATATTTCTCATACAAAATATGCCTGTTAATTTGGAGGAAGCTCTTTCTTTTTTTAAAAGTAATTAGGCTTCGCAATTCAGTTGAAACCAGAACAGAGAAAGTATATTATTAATCTGCTACGTGCTTAAGACGCCGGTTATCGCGATTCTACTTCAGGATACAGAAAAGTTTGAGTTTCAATTATACATTTATATCGGCAAATTATTAAAGCTTGGTACATGCTATTTTAATAGCTCTGATCATCTGATGCCAGCACGAGCAAGAATCGAATATTTCTTATAGTTGTCTCGATATTTGTTGAGGCTACATTACTTGGCATGGCAGCTATGAAGTTGGACGATGATTTTATAAAGAATATTAACATTTCAAACTAGAGGGCACTCAGAGACTGCATACATGACAAGAACAGCCCGGAGAAAGTGTGTAATTTTTTCGCCCGGGGAGTTAAGGGATATATACCTCAAAAATTGAGGTTTGCATCCCAAGATGCATTGCGTTCTGATTCCTTGTGATGTGAAAATGGCTTCTGATATTTTTCGCTGTAAAGTGCCGAATTTGTAGTTTTCATTCCTTGTTAATCGAGGGAACGAAAGAGAACCGGTAAACAAACGAAATACACAAAAGGTCTGAGTCAGAAACAGAATAATTTATTAAAATATGATGCTATAAGATCAAGTAATAAGCCGAGGTGAGTTTAATAGTTCATAATTTTTGTTGCGATTTAAACTATCTGATATAATTTCGTCTTCGGTCTTGTCTTTGTATTGACCTTACGAAAGCGTATTAATCTTTCGTAGAATCATGATTCATGAGAGCATTTCCTGGTTTTCAAGAGTCGTTCTCAACTGTGGACAATCTCAGTTGGCCTATTGATATATCACATACGTTTTACCTGGCCAAAGGATATTGTTTTCTGTGGAAGAGAGCTTAGATTTGCTGGGAATAAGGGAGCATGTAAAATTGCGAGGTTGGAAGAAAATCAAAAATTTCTTAGCTGAACAAGGTATGGAAACTTAAAACTAATTTGGTAATAGCAATACTATCATTAGTGTCATAATAACTTTGCCAATATGAAGAGACTGTAATTCATGTTGTGAAATGAAACAAACTGCCTAGTATCAGTATACATTTATACTCAATTTGCAGCAGCTTCTAATGGTTATTCAATTGAGGCTATTTATACGCTACAGCAGAAGGTTGTCTTATTTGTTATGCTTCATTATTTGTTGTTGTTAATAATTTATTAAGTATTGTGCGGCACATATTACTCCCAGGAGAGGGCCGAGTGGGAATACCAATTCCATACCAGGCATGTTGAAAACCAGCATTACTATAGTAGGATTCAAACATGTAGTATGCTAGTAACTAACTATGAGGTCGGTGTGAAGAAAAGGCGATGGAAATCTCGATGGAAATCTCGGCCACTTATAGAAACCGAGTCCGCATACAGGAAAATACCTTTTCTCTTATCTCCAGACGACTTCACCGAGGTAGTAAAGAAGATCTTCTGGCAGGATTATCATGTTCAGTAGTTGCTGATGATGAAAAGACATTGATACCAGAAAGCAAGGAATGGAATGGGAAGTTTTTGAAAACTGAATGTGAATGGTGGAAATTGTACGGGGATGCACGTACATATGGAAAACAAAAGAGTATTGCTGTTGCCATTGGGAACTTAAATAATGAACATGTTCTCAATGGGTGCAGCTACCAAAGTCCAAAAGAAATGTGGCCAATCTGTCTCTTTTATGGAGGAGACAGCCGTTTGAATCTTGAGTTAAATCTCGACGGCAATTCAGTATGGTTGAGCAACTGGGTCACCACTATGGAGACAATGGTCATTCTACTTTCGTTATTGGCGATTCCATGTTTCTTGATGCCATGGCTGAGCCCTCGCTTGATCCAACAAGCAAGGACAAGTTTTCCATTTACAATTATGAGACGGTAGATACCAAAGGCAAAGTGGATCCAGTAACAGGACTTCGATCGGGACTGGGAAGAACAATTGAGCGAGATCTTCCACATGCTATTTTAGAAGGTAAGAGAAGTGTTGATCACCGTTTTTCCTGCTTCTTGCAACTTTAGCAAGAAAAATTTTGATTTTTGCTATAATTTGCTCGATATTATATCTTGAAATTTCTAGAATTACTGAGTATTTTAATAAAATACAAAACAAGTGAAACTCCAAAAATCGATTAGTCGAAACGTAGATAAATAAAAATGTTATCGATTTTTGGAGTTTCACTTGTTTTGTATATTATATCTTGCATAGTTACCGTACATGCATTGACTGAAAGCAATAGATCTATTCGAAAAATTGATGCCAAAACAAGGGTGAATTTCGTTCTCGCCAAATTAGAACATTTGTTTACATTTGCCCTAAGCCAATCAGAAAGGCTGTAAGTTAAGAAAATTGGCGTTTTACGTATTCTAGCTTAGGAAGAAAAATGTAAACAAACGTGCTAATTATGCGAGAACAAAGTTCCCCCTTGTTGGCTGCCGATTCATTTCTCGGAAGGTTATCAGTTTACTTTGATCAGCGGTCGCGCGCATGAATATATTTAAAAATTTCAAAATAGCTGAAGTTTTTAGCTGGATTTTGTTTTATATATTTTTTATTTCATCTCATTTTAATCCATTAACCCATTGAGTTGCATTGGCTCTGATGCGTCCTACTTTAGTTTTTTACTTTGTTTAACGCCAGACGATTTTACTCGTCAAGGGGAGAAAGTTGGCGCTCAATGCGTTAACTGGCCTATCTGCCCATGTGTCTAGTTAACCCATTGACCTACTTTAGTATTTTACTCTGTCTAACGCCAGACGATTTTACTCGTCAAGGGGAGAGCGTTGGCTCTCAATGGGTTAACAACCATTGCTCTACCACTGACGAGTAAAATCGTCTGGCGTTAATCAGAGTAAATACTAAACTAGGGCGCATTGGGGCACATTGCGCGTTGATGGGTTAACAAGAGATGTGTGCAGATAGACTTGTTAACTCATTAACCACCAGTGCTCTACCACTGACGAGTAAATCGTCTGGCGTTAGACAGAGTAAATACTAAAGTAGGGCGCATTGGGGCACATTGCGCGTTGATGGGTTAACAAGAGATGTGTGCAGATAGGCTTGTTAGCCCATTAACCACCAATACATTACCACTGACTAGTAAAATCGCCTGGCGTTAGACAGAGTACAGTAAATACTAAAATAGGGCGCATTTGGACGCATTGCTCGTTAATGGGTTAACACAAGATGTGGACAGATATGTATGTAGGCTTGTTAACCCATTAACCACCAGTGCTGTACCACTGACTAGTAAAATTGCCTGGCATCAGACAGAGTAAATACTAAAGTAGGGTGCATTTGGCGCATTGGTCGTTAATGGGTTAATATACAATCTAATATTTAAATCCAAAATTTCAGGCGCCCCATATCTATAGTCGTTCGCGAGATATAAACCTTTGAAATATGAATTCCTTAAACCCTGCCTGGGTAAGCTTTTTTGAGACAAGCTGAGCCTGAGACAATCTCTGAAATTTTCCTGGGCAAGGATATGTACTGTACCTTAGAGGCTGCTTTCCAGTCATACGTGCGTACACGTACGGAAAAGTTGAAATGTCTTTAAATGTTACTTATGAAACAACGTAGGGCGCATTAGGGCGCATTGCGCGTTAATGCGTTAAACTTATAGACAGGAACCTAATCAAACAAAGAGGCAAAGTATATTAACAAATTTTTACATTTCAAATTTTACTGATAAATGATGAGATTTAAATTGTAATGTTCATCTAAGGAGTTTCACCTTCTCATGTTGTGGTGTTGTAGTATGTTTGATCAACAAGCAAGAGTAGTCCGCAATAAATTAGCCTTAATAAGTACATAACTTTTTAAAAACTCTTCTACTCAATCGATTTTTATGAGTTTTTGACCACCATATAGCTCTTTTTTGTCGGAATCAGATTATTTTTGTTGCTATAGCAACCAAACCTGGAACAAAATGCAAGGGGCGCAAACAAGTTATACATAATCTGATATAATATTAATTATAATTTAAACCCGTTGTAGGCCTCCCAACTGAAAGACATGTCTTGTGCAGTGATCATATGATGACACGCATCACAGAAAGCCTCCTCACACGCAAAGTGAAGTCCATCTATGATATGGAAGCAAAGTCAATGATCAATAAGAAAGAGCGCGACAACCTACAGTAGTCCAGCGACTCGAGTCCAACATCAATGCAAGAGGTGTACGAGGAGGTCACTTCAAATTTCTTTTCGAAGCTGGGAAGAACAGACTTGAACAGGTGTCTTTAAACAAGACATCTGCTCAATTGATATCTGCTCCACCCGAATTCTTCAAAGATGAAAGTTACCCACATCTATTAGAAGGAGTCTCTCAAGACATTGTCTTGCCCAAACCATTTCCCCCAGGTCTACAACAGGCTCTTCAGTTGTCATCACCAAGAATTACCGAATTCGAGTGTGAATCTCTGTTGTGGGAACACCACTTCAACATGCATAAGATTAATCGAATGCAACCTACTCCAGTGCTTGTGAACCCAGAGAAGAATGGATCCTTAAACCCAAGTGATTATGTATTTGGTGTGACAGACGAGAAGATAGAAAGTTATACTAAATCGGCAGACATCTTTCATGGGCTCATGTGCTACCGCTATGGAAGTGACGCTCTGACTCCTTACATGACTAAATGCATTGACATTGTCCCGATTTTTCTACAATCTTTGCCATTCAAATCAATGATGAGGATGTCAACCGAAGGAGGAGAGAGAATGCACCACTACATGCATCAACAAAGGTTCTTCCAGCATTCATCTCGTGGCGGTGGTTGAGTATATCAAGACCCTTTGCTCAATGTATTTAACCACATGTATAGGCAGATACAAGAACGTGTTAATGCTACAGATAAAGAGAATCAGGAACAATTTGCTGCATTTGTGGAGGATTGCTTACAAGGCAGACATGATAATGGCTTGGTTTCGGCAACATTGACATCCGTGGCTGTTGACCAATTCTTTCCTCTGCATGGCAAACGGTTTGCTCTGGTTGGGTCATTTGGTTCTGTCAAACTTACTCAGGAGAAATTGAAAGATATTATAACTGACAAAGGCATGTGTATCTGTGCTCACTAATGTTATATTTTAATCCACTAGCAGGCAATGCCTAATTTAGTATTTACCTTCTTTCTACAGTGGTGGGGTACTGCCGGTAAATGGGTTAACCTTTGCATGACAGTTTTTGAAAAGTGTTCTGTCACAGCCAAGAAAGCTTTGCTCAATTTCATTTGTAATCCAACGTTCTTTTTCTTACAATATGTGTTGAAAGCAAAAGAACCTTAAGAACGATTATAAAATTAATGCATGATAGTTCTTCTTAATTTACATCATCCAATCACGCCATCAGCCCATGCATGCAAAAATGTTTTATGAGTAAATTTCGAGAAACCGGCGAAAATACTTTGTTTACAAGGCTGCACGATTTTCACCGTTTTTGTGACTGCACATTTGCTTTGACAGTTTGTGCCTTCAAAAAACTCAAAACCTATCCCCAAACTACAAATTAGACAACAAGATAAACGTTTTGACAATGAAAACGTAGTTTTAGCTTTGTTTATACTTTGTAGTTTGCACTCCTAGTCAAATTCAAACATGGCGGATTTATAAGGGCACGCATGAGAAAAAGTGGAGACATGATTCGTGATCAAGTACGCATTCTATATCTATTATTTCTATGTTCACCCCCCTGGTTTGAGCCTAAAAATTTTGTTTTCGAGGTAAAAATCTCACTGAAAATCTTGATATTTTTCTTCAGTATGCTTGATTTACAACGGATACTGCATTTTTGCGCCGCTCGTATGTATGAGAATTCTCCAAACAAGTACTAGAAGAATATTTTATTCACCAGTAAGATTTTTATATTTGAATGATCTTGAATATTGCTAGATCCTAGCTTGCTTTATAAACTCGATAGAAATACAAATCCCCATAGGAAAATGGTTGGGAATTCTGTAAATTTTATTGTTCTTTGGATTTACCACTAGCCTCTGTGTTTTCATATGATTTTAAAGGCTGCTTATGGTGTCAAAATCCTTACTGCACGCACTTATATTGATTTTAATAGTTACTACAGACTTTAGTATTTAGAGCACATTTTCCCTGACAAACTTTGAGATATATCCTTGCCAGGTTCTTGTAGCAGTTATATTATGTAAGAGTTAATTATCGAGAACCGAGGCATTTAGTCAAATACAGGCCGAGGCGCGCAGCGCCGAGGCCTGTATTTGACTAAATGCCGAGGTTCGAGGTAATTAACTGACTTATTACATGATCTGGAGGTTTATTCACAAAACAGCTCTTACGCTTGTGGGACGTAACACAAGGCTGAGTAGCGCGCTATGTACGCTTTAGAATGTGGTTAAGCATGCGCAGTATATCATTTCACGTCCCACAAGCGAAAGAGCAGATGTTACTGTATAAATTCCCTGCACAAACAAGTTTGATGGTTGATCCAGCTAGTCCTCGTGCGCCGAATGATACATATACTCTTACCTAATGGTAGAGTTTTGACGGGCTCTGAGGTACACGGCTGTTGTCTCTTTCCCGACTGGAGACGGTACAGCGTTTATCGAGTTGGGAAAGAGACTAACCTCTCATTAGGTACTTACCCAGATAAGTACATCATGAGTATAGTTTTAGTGAGGTATTTATCTAGATAAATACCTCATTAAACTATTCATCAAGTTCAAACCAATAACCATAAACCTCTCACCTCTGAATATATAAGCCCCAATGACAGACCCCAAATATACGCCCTCCCCCCTGTGTTAGCCCATGGCACAGTATAGGGAGACAACCAGTAGGGCCACTTAGGGGAGAGAAAAGTGGGAATTATTTAAGCTAGGTCCCAGGTGCCTTACGCGGCCAAAATCATTACTCTGTAATACAATTTTATAGTGAACCGCTGCCGTTTACTGGCTGCCAATATGTAAATTCAGTTGGCAGCCAGTAAACAATGTGGACACTTTTTCACGCTAAGTGGCCCTACTGTAGTTTTCCTATACTGTGCCCATGGACTTATTTTTGGACAGGTATTTTTTAATGCAGCAAAGGTATTTCAACAGCTCAGCCCATCAAAAATGCTAATGAATGAATACAAGCATTCGGAGGTTTACACAGGGATGGATCCAGCATGATCTGGTAGGGGTGCTCTGCTGGCTGTGGTGCCGAGTTGTGTCGGTCATGTGTGCCGTCCACCCATCAACTTGCTTCACTATTGATAAGTCTTGCTTGACTACTGTATTTGAATTGTAATTGTTGTTCACAGTTCGCTTATCATGTTATTACTCAAATTACTGTATCTAATTTTGTCTCTAATAATTTTTTGCTATATCATGAAAAATAGCACACCCCCTGCACCCCCTCTGTCCAGGGCTAGGGGGGTGCACAACCCCCGCACACCACACCCCCCAGTAAATCCATCCCTGGGTTTACATGGTCAACATCTGCCCAACATAGTTTGTCAGAGTTCCACAAATCGCACAGCCATTAGAGTTGTAGTTCGGTATTTGTAGGAATGAAGGGTGTGTACGTGCCAGACAGCCGATACATATTCACTACCCATGGCATTGACCAAAATTGTGCCCTGACAACTAACCAATCAAATTGATGACTGATAACATGTTTGAGAGCATCTTCAGTGGGGATGGTCAATAATTACCAAATTAGCAAGTTTAATTAAAATATTAATAATATACAAAATCAAGCAATTTTTTTTTCTTTAATTAATTTTGAAACATTACAATACATGTTTCTTGGTATGGAGTTTCACTAACAGTGGCATGAACTCTAGCCTCCACCGCAGGCATCTCACCCGAGGAATCGGGTGGTGGGAACCCATTTGCAGGCTAACCCATTTGCAGGCGTAACTTAACTCTTGCCCGGGGCAAGTGAATATCATGATGGGCCAGTAAACATTCTATCTTGCTTGCCCAATTGAGCAAGTCGCCTTGCCACAAAAAGCTGGGCATCTTGTTTAAGTTTATGTTTTCATTGTCGGATAATTTTTTTATAGTGCATGTACTTGATTCAGAAATGTTTACTATGTCACAACATGGCGACTATGCATGAGTGTGTTGCTACAAACACAAATAATATCAGTCAGAATCACTTTTGTATGGTCTTTTCAAAGTTTAAAGACTATCTAACACGTAATATCAACGGCAGAATCAAGTGGCTGGGTGATTTTTCTTGGTCATTGGCACTCGTCAGCAATTATGTAAACTTCAGCCTATCAGCATTTCAGTTAATAATTCTGTGATTTCTCCTAGCCCGCATATTAAGAACCTTGGCAGCTGGTTGGACTCGAACTTAAACATGACGACTCATATCACAAAAGTATGTAAAGCCTGTTTTTTCCACCTGCATAATATCAGACTAATTAAGAAATATCTATCAAGAGACAACTTACTGATCCTAGTACATGCTTTCATCACCAGCAGGCTCGACTACAGTAACAGCTTATTCTACGGTCTCCCTGGAAAGCAAATATCTAAACTACAGCGTGTTCAGAATGCCGCTGCAAGATTAGTAATGGACGTTCCAAAATATTCACGAATACAATTCAAGGTGTTACTATTTGCTTTTAAAGCTATACACGATCTAGCACCATCTTATATTAAGGATCTCATTAATGTCAAATCGAAGTCGTCCTTCAACTTAAGATCTAACAATGGCACTCTACTGGAACCTCCAGCAGGCAGTATGCTTACCACCTTGGGTGCACGAACCTTTCACGCGGCTGCACCTCATCTTTGGAACAGTCTTCAACTTGGTATACGTTCACTTACATCTATTGACTTGTTCAAGAAATCAATTAAAACTCATCTTTTTAGGAACGTTTTTACTGACTTTTTATAAGATACGAATATTGAATTTTAAGAATGTTAATATTTAATAAATTCATCAGTAACAATGTAAATAATCAATAATGTAAATATAGTATCTATTCTTAACTCTGTGAAGCGCTTTTGATCAATTGTTGTAAATAGCGCTATATATGTAATACATTTATTATTATTATTATTATTCAAATTTTGTTTTTTGTGGGCCAAACTTTTAGATTTGAGGCAGTATAACATATAGCCATATAGAATGGGTCGACATGTTGTCCCCTAAATTTAACCTACCTCGGTACCCCAGTGGCTAAATTTTATTCAGGGCAACTAATTTTCATGTCCAACTTGCCCTGAGGGCAAGTTGTCAAAAGTTACACCACTGAAAACCCATAGAGGCCTGTTGAGGAGGCTAAGAATAGATTATAGCCATAGGGGCTATCAATATGGAAGCCAGGCTGGCCTGGTTGGCAGAATAATTTCTTTGCCGACACAATTCTATTGTTTTGACTATATTTTCATGACCAATGTTGTTTTGACTTTATTTTCACCAAGTCAGTCCAGTTAGTGTTTATAGCCATAAAATATCTTCCCGGTGTAACTGAGAGCTTGCCTTGTTCTGATGAAATCTGAAAACTGAGCCAGTCAGGTTGTTCATACAATTTGAAAGGAATTTCCACTATAAAAATAACCACACAGTGAGGTTTTGCTTACTGGCCTAGCTGTCGCATTAACCTTACCTCAGGGATACCAAAAATATGCCAGCACTTGAGTTATTAGTCAATTAACCCAATACTCAAATAGGGATGGGGCAAACAAGTTAATGCATGGCCTTTTAAAGATACATACAACAAACTATCAGAGAGCACACAATATACAAACTTGGGCAAAACATGCATTCTCAGATCAGCTGAGCTTTGTCCTGCATCAGTTGACCACAAGCTCATGCATGACAAAACCCAACCTTGGCTAAATCTATAAAACCTTAATACTTCCCTCTTTATACTAGCACATCATAGTTTCATGTCAAATATTTGTCAAATTCATATACATGTACAACCATTAATTCCTTGGGATTGAGGGATGAAATTATTATATTTTAAAGTTAAAAGGTTCGTCTACAACCACATTATAAATACTCGTGGCTTATTTTCTAAAAAATAGAGTACATTCTACCATTTATTCCTAACATTTTTTCATGAAATATTTAAAATAGTAATGTGAATTTTGAAATATTTATAAATACCTGTTTATAGTCTGATAAATACGGATGTTTGTTCTGGCTTGAAATATCGTTTTTGCCCACATTTCGCGAGGTTTTAATAGTTGTTTGTTGTCTTTCACGCTCCACGGACGAGAATTAACGTGTACGGCTGCCACATCTTTGAACAAATGGTCAACAGTCGAAAAAATATGTCGAAAATATCAAAACAACAAGGATTCGCTCCAAAAAGCCAAAATATTTTTATAAAAACCAGGGGGGGGTGAAAACTGCGGCGGGCTCATAGTTGAGCCTTGTTCAGTGGCAATTACCATGAATTTAGGGACCAGTTGTCATGGAAATGGCGTCATTTTTCATCAAAATCCGCCATTTTTTTTGGCGACACTTCGTTGACTGAACAAAGTATAGGAGCAGATCCTCCAGTTATTATACAGCTCAGTGCCCAACACCGTTGGTCACCCACGCCCGCGATAATTGATGAACTTTAGACTCCGCTAATGCTTTCGTTTCCCCGGGTGTAAATAGCCGGGGGGAATTAGTACCCTCGCACGGCGCTTCGCGCCGTCGGCTCGGGGATGAATATACGGTAATTGTCTTAATTGACATTCGCACGAAATTTAAATTAAACTTCTCCCGGGTCGCTTGCAATTGCCATAATGACCGAAGGCGAAGCCGCAATTTCCGATTTACCGGCATTATAGCAAAACGACACTTTCGAAGTGAAGCTAAGTGATGTGAAGCAAGTCCGTGTGAAAAAGTTTAGAACCCAAGGTATGGATTATACGATCGATTCAATTTACGGACGCGTATGCTAGTTCGGAACTTTCTCAGTACCACGACCGTCTTCATAAAATATTTGAAAGTTTATTGAATACCTTCACGCAAGATATCCCTGAGCATGATCAAGTCCGCTTTGTGTTGCGATCGCCTCAGCGTGATGATAACCCCATTTCTCTTCCTTTCTTGCCTTGTCAACGTCTTACAACTGAATGGGTTTTAGCTGCAATTGAGCGCTGTGTGATTCAATTCAATCAATCATGAATTTCGTTCGAATGATAGTGTCAATGTCAATTTAATCCATGTTGAAATGTCCAATGGTGGTACCGGTGTCCCAGGATATTTCGCCCCCCGTGCGGCGAAAATCGTAGGAATTTCGCCCCCCCCCCCTTTAGGAAATTCGCCCCCCTTTGGAAACTTCACCTTTTCTTTAGGATTTTGGTCCTCCGTTCAAAATTTCGCCCTTCCTAACAGTTGCATGGGATAATTATTACATGGCTTTAATAATTTCAAATCAGTATCAATTCAAAATTGTTAAGAGAGAGCTTGAAATAACAACCGATCAATGATCGGCGGAAAAGCAGGGTTTCGGTTTCCAACCTGAAAAAAGCAGGGAAAGTCATGACTGCCGATCACCATGATCGGGAAATTTGGGAACGTTATTTCAAGCCCTGTAAGAAGACAAATTTACAATTACATGTATCGAAAGAGCTTACACAGTTGCAGTAGATCTACTGTATAGGACTTATGACGCTTCACAGCACACCATGCATATTTTGCATTTTCAGTGTTAATCCTTATACTCATTGTTAAAAAGTAATCATCGTGGTGGTTATTATAATTATTGGTATTGTTTTGCATCCACGTTTTGTTATCGGAAAATGTATGGCTTATAAATTGTCACTATTTTTTACTTGCATTATTTCAATATAGTTTGTAAATCTCAGAAGCGAAGGGTAGAACTTGCCAATAGGCAATACTCCAATAATATACGTTTCAAAAAAGACAAAAAAGCTTTTAGTTTTGCAATTTTTACATTCTCAAATGTTTAAGGCACTAATAAAATCAAAAGTATCATGAAATTATTTGAATAAACCACACCACATATATATCATGCAATTTTCTTTGTGGAAGTCAAGAATCACGATTACATCACTGAGACTGACATGGAAAGTTGACGATTCAATGGACAATAGTCAATACGCTTCCCAACACATTCCATAGATTTTTTATTAATCCTATAGTTTATTGTTAGCAAGCTAGTGATTACTGTGGCGGCTATTGTTAACACTGGTATTGATAAAATTTGCAAGCGATTGTTTTTATAACATGTTATGTGAATGTAAACTGCCAAAAGAATACGACAACACAATTTTATGCGATCTCTGTGGGCAACGGTTCCACATTAGATGTGTAGAATATGACACTGGTCACCAGTGAACTCAAAAGACCTGGAACGATAACTCGGCCACCATGTTTGAAGCCAAATTGAAGGCCGCCATTGCACGTCAGGCCTCGAAAATACACCCCATTTCCGCCGGATGTTTTCTCATACTTCAAAGTTACAATCAAACAAAAACAAAGTTTAAAAAGCTTCAATCTCACCTGCTCTTTTATAAAAAAACATTTTCGAGGATACAAATCAACTTTAAGCATCTTTTTTAAGGAGTTAAATCTTGAAGTTTTGTTCGGCGCGTTTAAACTTGTGCAATATTTACAATATGAAACTGACACCTCAGAAGTTTCCCCCCTAAATGGACGTAAAACACTAAAACTATCCGTGTATATGTTTTAAAGCTTTAGATTTAATGCTATCTAACGAAAAATATCATTTTCTACCTATTTTTGGGAAAAAGCAGAGTCCAAAGTGAATTTTACTAGACCCAGTCCTTTTTCTGAAAATTCAGAGTGTCAACAAATGCGAAATATTTGCGAAAATATATAAAAAAATGTACACGTTAAAAAATTGGGTTTTTTTACTTGGTGCTGAGATATAAACATGCCTTTTGCTTGTGTACTTTTGTGCTGTAACAGCAAGCAAAAACAAGTTAAAAAGAAGACAAAAAAACACAACCAACACTGGAAAAAAGATTGCATTTCACAGGTGATGCGTTCAGGATATTTGAAAATAACAACAACAGATTTAATCTTATCACATTGTAAAAATAAACATAAATACACATATAAAATATTAAATAAATACTTTTAAGTCACATAATTTGAGAATAAATTGTCTCATATTTGTGCACTTCAGCAATTGTATTTAATTAAATTTTAATATAAACATCACTGTTTACAGCTGCTACACTATGGTATGTACAGTACAAGGCTATACAGTACAAGGCTATACAGTACAAGGTTATAAAGTACAAAAGCCAACTACTAATTAATTTTAAAGTAGAGACCTTTTGTAAACTAGCATCAGCTAAGGATCTAATTAAATACAAATATAAACTAAGCATAATAATTATGTACATACATATACACACACTCACGCATTGTAATTTACACTGCATTTATTTAGATTCCCTCTAAATAACCCAAAAGTTCTTGGAAAGTGGGAGAAATCAGTCTGCGAAGTAAACAACTCCCCTGATTGGAAAGCAACACGATATACATACATCTGCAGCAAGCACTTCCCACAATCTGATTACATTATTCGATCCTTCTGAAAATGAAAGCTGCAGGTTGAAATCCACAGCTGTACCCACTATATTCAATTCATCAAGTAACCCAGTCAATGGTATCCCTAAAAAATTAAGAAAATGTAATCTAGAGATGTTGACAACCGTATCATCTCTTGATATTGTCAACCATGACCATACCTACTGCAAAAAAGCCAACACCATAGAAGATTTGGAAGTAGACCAAGATAGGAAAACCCTAGAGGATAAACTAAAAATAAAAATAAAAGGCTTGCAGCAACAATTAAGGCGAACTAAAGCCAGAAAACAGACCATGGGAGATATTATACAAGAGCTACAACAAAAGCTTCTTATCTGTCAAGATGATGCAGAACTACTTTCGGCAAAATTTGATGGGGTGCAACTTGCCATTTTCAGAGACACAAAAAATAATGTTAGCTGTGATCCTTGTGGGAGGAGATATGTAGACGTTGTCAAAGAATTCGCAACAACATTAAATTACTACTCACCAAAAGCATACGAATATGTAAGGTCAATAATTCCACTACCACATCCATCACTTATTAGAAAGTGGTCAAGTGTTGTTGAGTGCAATCCAGGATTCTTTAAAGAGTCATTTGAATCCCTAAAAAAGGAAGCATTGCTCAGTCCTGAAAAGAAAGACTGTTGTCTTATAATTGATGGGATGGCAATTAAGAAGCAAACTCTATGGGACTCTAAAAATGATAAGTATGTGGGGTTTGTAGACTATGGATATAGCTATACCTACCAGTAAACCAGATCAATATGCATCAGAAGCACTAGTATCTGTTCTTGTGGGGGCCAGAAGTAATTGGAAATGTCCTATTGGATATTTTCTCACTGACAAAATGACTGGAAAAATGCAAGCCAAGTTGGTTCAGGAAGCACTCATTATGGCAGCTGAAGCTGGATTACGTGTCTATTCTGTAACAGCAGATGGTACTTCTGTCAATTTCACCATGTTCAGTGAACTTGGCTGCAAGTTTACAACATCATATGAAAGCATGATTACCAAGTTTAAACACCCTACTCAAAACTACTTCGTATATGCAATTTTGGACCCATGTCACATGCTTAAATTGGCAAGGAATGCTTTGGGTCACTTAGGCTCTATCGTTGACTGTGAAAACAATATTATTACATGGAAATTATTTTCATCACTCAATAAAATCCAAGAATGTGAAGGTTTCCAATTAGCAAACAAGTTTTCATCAAGACATCTCCAGTTTTTGAAGCACAAAATGAATGTCCAACTAGCAGCTCAAACCCTTAGCTCATCTGTAGCAGATGCTATTGAATTTTTAGATAAATCAATGAAACTTAAACAATTTCAAAACTCAATCGGCACTGTTAAATTTATCAGAATAGTGGATAGATTATTTGACAAAAGGATTTAAACAACCACTGCGTCCTCAATCGAGAAATACATGGAAAGAAATCTTGAAGCATTCTGCTGAGTATTTGCTCAGTTCATAGTTAATAGAGGACAGGGTTTGGAAGCTGGGGGCGTGGCCAAATTATGTTATTGTTCTCTGTCACGTGACAATATGGGTGCATCAAAATCTATTTGTAATAGGAGATTGTATTACAGAGGAGGCAGTAGTAGTGATGGGCGATACCAGAATTTTTAATTCGATACCGATACCGATACTTTTAAGATCGGTATCGGCCGATACCGATACCTATTTCGATACCAAAATGAACACAAAATTTCAATTTTCGATACCGGAAGTGAGTACTTAAATTTCTAGTATCGGCTACTTTAGATACCTGCCGGTCAGCGGAAAAACATTTTACATTACTGTATGTAACCTAAATAAAGCTATAAGTAAACCAAATGCCCGAAACGTAATAAATATTTTCTATACATGAGTTGGCGCATCACATTTGGAATATTAAGAGTTATTTTAGTGGTTTATTAAGTCTTATTCAACCAAGAAGTGAAATTAAACAAGTCGTTTAAAAAAGGGTGCAAGTATCGAACGATACCACGTCAGTAATCGATACCGATACCGCTGTTTGTGGTATCGCTGGTATCGAATACCGAGTACTCGGTATCGCCCATCACTAGGGAGTAGTACTTGAAAAACGTCTTTTACAGAAAGAATATCCAAATACCAGGTGCAAATTGCTCCATACATGGTTGCGGGACTAGTAGAAAACACTTTGATCTCAGTATTTTTTGAAATCCAACAAAAGACGACGATTTATCGACGAAAATTCGCGAAGCGTTGGCGAAGCTTGTCACACAGGACGCTGGATCGAAAGATAGATGCAAGTTTAAGAAATCAAATAGCTCAACAAATACTTCACGCGTTTGTGAATGACACTTTGAAAAGACCAAGCCGAAACATGTAAGTACTAGTTATTTTCTTTCTCTGGTAGAGGTATTGATATTTCTGTATCAACGCTTGAAAGTTACAACTTAGCAGAAGTACTGTATATATTTCATGTATCAAATGATCAAATCTGTATTAACCATATGGTCATAGAGCAGGAAAAATATATTAAATATTAATGATTTGCATAAAAGTGCGTTTCGGTCATTAGGTCATATTTACATAACAGTTAATCCTTGTGTTCATAAAATGAAGGTATACATATTATTCAGGACACTGTCATAGCATATGAAAGCCCCATTTACAGTGATTATAAATCGTGTTTGCTGTGAATTTTATTATAATTACTATCTTAACAATACTTGTATAAATTAAGTCAACTTACTGTATATAATCAGATATTTTATGTTCTGCTTTAATAGTTCCCACCTGCAAAAGGCTTGTAGCTGGTCTATTCCTATCTTTAATTTACCCCAGAAAAGCATACCTCTCTACATCGACAATTGGAGCCAGGTAACATTGCTGGTTGTCACACTGGTCAGAGGAATAAATGGTATGGTGGATTAGAAAAGGCCTTGCCGTAACATAAACAGAAGTAATCTAGTGAGAACTTTTGTGGGGTTTTTGTACCCAGAGCTGTCATTAAGGGCCCGTAGCTTGCCTACTTCTGTCTGAACAAAGTTCATATAAACAAAACTGTGAAGCAATAAACAAACCTTTTACTTCCTCTAGCCAGAATATCAAAATTAAAACAAAAGATTAAATGATTTCAAACAGGTCAGGCTTTGATAGGATGTTTTGTAATCTTAAGAACTCTGTAAAATACCTTCCAAAATGCAGGGAATGTGTAAAATACCTTCCCAAATGCAGGGAATGGCATTTCCAATTGTTTAGATTTCAGGGTTAGGGGTATGCCACCTACTTGTAAACTTAATGACAGCACTGCTTCAAAAGAGTAATATGCAATAATTTGTACATATGTTATAAAATAATTATTAAAACAGATTATAAATGAATAGGTGAACAATAAGACTAGAACAATATATTATTAACCTTAGTTGAATAATTTGTAAAAATTTATACTAATATATACAGTAAATCACTATTACACAAAATTTTGTTTCACTTCAAATAGACAAGACATTGGTAGGCTCAACTTTGAGTTATCATGGTTTGAGAGACAACAACGGCTAGAATCAGAGCACACTGACGTAGTGAATAAGTACACTATTCACATCTGAAATAGACCTTTCCCCTAAAAACCAAAATTTTGATCTAGGCAAGTCTAGACAAATATTTCATCACAGCTTGAAAGAGCATCACAAAATTAGTAATATTCCAAAGTTTTGTTGCGAAATGTTGTAAAATGAGGAAAATAGAGCCTTGCAAAGTTTCCAATTTTCAGTCATTTTGCATTACAAATGGGAAATTGCAGCCCCAACACCTGATTGGGCTGTCAATTTCCCGTTTGTAATACAAAATGACTGAAAAACGGCAAACTTCGCAAGGCTATATTATCCGCATTTTACAAGATTTTGCAACAAAATTTTGGAATATTTACTAATTTTGTGACGCTCTTTCAAGCTGTGATGAAATTTTTGTCTAGATCGAAATTTTAGTTATAATGGGAAAGGTCCATTGGCTGTCAACCAGGGGCATAGGAACCAGGGGCCAAGGCCCCCCAAGTTTTCAGAAGATGCAAAAAGTGCCCTTTGAGTGTGGGGCAGTTAAACAATGAAATGACCAGCCTGCTTGACGTGCACTCTTTGGCTGAGAATCGGGCCTTTCAGAACCAGAAATCGGGCTGGAGCACGACAAATGGCAAAATTTGAAACTTAACAGCCATACAGTTTACCAATATTCTCAAAACACAAGGACGTACTGGCATTCTTTTGATACTGCAATGCTATTAGATTGCTCAATAATGTCATTCCACAAACCTTTTGCAAATGGAGGAGCTTGGACATTCTTAATAACTTTATCAACGTGTAAAGAAGTAGGTTTGCCTTAATTCTTGTGTGCTTTCTAAAGCACAATTCAGCAATTCTAGCAATATCATTAAGTCATGAATTTGGTACCCACAGGGCTGACGGCCCCTCCCCAGCAACATAAGCTGGGTGGTCCAAACTCTTCTGATTTCACTGATAATTACTAGCAGAATACAAACATTAAAAAATATTTCTGGGTATATAATCCTTTGCACATAGGTAAAATCTTCTGGCATCCAACAGTTGGTCTACAAAGCATTTGGAAAGGAATAAGAACTAAGTTTAATACCCTTAGGTCAATATTGTACTATACAGAGGAAATATCAAAATTTGATATTTCCTCTGTATGATATTTCCTTTGATATCTCCTTTGTCTAATATATTATAAGACTTGGTTTTGGAAACTGTGGGATGGGCATGAAATATCATGGAATCTTGGAATAACATTCTATTTTGATGTGACAGAATGATCAAAAGTAACAAATCACATGTTAGTAGACATTGAATCACTGTATATTGGTCAATATCTGGACTTGTAATTGACAATTGGACATAAGCCTTAGGGCCTACTATTTAAGACATTCATATCTAGGTTACAGTATATTGTCTATATATATATATATATATATATATATATATATATATATATATATATATATATATATATATATATATATATATATATATATACAGTATTAAGATATTTACTGGTATTAAAGCATGGAGTTTCTTCAGTGTTTTAATATAATATTAGAATATCTGCTGGTAATAGCAAAGTCAACCGTTCGGGCATATTCACCAGCATCAAAAGCACGACTTTATCTTCTCTGCATGGATGAAAATATTCTTTCCTTTTCCCTACCTCTCAAATGATCGACAATGCCTTCTCATATGCGTGATATAAAGTCATATAACATGCATTTTGATCTTCCCTTTGGCAGTACTAGCTGTAGAATTTGTCGAGTGCTTAATACTGCGTCGATATTCGCACAGGAATTGCTTTAATCCTTCAATCTAAACGACAAATATAAGTCAAATATTAAGTCTAAGGCATCTCACTACATATTGTTTAATTGGACACAGTATAAAGGACTTACTTCTTCAACTGAACGCGATATTTCTTCAGTTAATTCATCCGCGTTGATTTGCAGTAGCTAAATAGTTTGATGAAAATCGTCTCCGTCGTTGTATCTGCGTCTCCAGCACCCAGAATTGGGTGAATTTTGCTTTCTGAATCGTATGCCGAACTTGTCGAAGCCATAACAAGAACAACAATGCCTTATTTTAAATTTTATAAGCACAATTATATCATATTTCTGTAATACTACGCTATAGTAATTTCTGAATTTGATGCACCCGAAATGTCACGTGACTTACCTTTCCAACATCTGAAATTAATTAGCTCGAAAGCCTTTGAAGTTTGCCGG